TAGACAGGAGCACGGCGATGAAAACACTTGCAGGCAAATGTCGCAATATTAACAATTCTGGAAAAGTCTGTAAGCAAGTAAAATTGATATTGGATAGATATGAGAATATGGCCAATGTCTTTTTGTTGTTTGATTATTGTTGTTGTGAATATCCTACACAGCTAAGCTACTGTATCCACACTATTTCAAAACTCATAGAATACAATATGCATCATGTATATCTAGCTTTCTATAATTATATTTATTCCCAAATGTAGATAGTTTGGGGGCGGTCGGGTAGCCTAGTGGTTAAAGCGTTCGCTCGTCACGCCGAAGACCCGGGTTCGATTCCCGACATGGGTACAATATGTGAAGCCCATTTCTGGTGTCCCCCGCCGTGATATTGCTGGAATATTGCTAAAAGCGGCGTAAAACCATACTCGCTCAACCACTAGATAGTTTGTACCCTACCCTACCCGACCCGACCCGATCCCGACCATTTATTGTATAAATGCTGTAGGTATGATTATAACGAATTACGGTTATTACGAACTAGAATGAGTGGTCCCTTCGAGTTCGTTATAACCGTAGTTTACTGTAGAGATATATATTAAGACGCCAGCAGATCAGAGATTATGCAAACTTTACAATCTAAACAAAATAGAAGGTGAAACCCATGATATGTTACACTGTACAATATATTCTTTTTTAACGTAATAATTTCAGAAGACATGAATGTGTATTCAAATACACAGATGCTGGCCCTTATTTTAAACCCAGGACCAGACCATGTCAAAGCCATAGCAAACAATAGACATACAAGAAGGAACAGACTCCATCGTCACATAGTCGCGCTACCTCTGTAAGTATGTGTGTATATGTCTATAACCTTTTACCAATTTGTAGTAGATATATATTGTAACTCTACTCCGCGTGGATGTTCTTACAATACGTTGTAGATTCTATATTCAAATTAACTCCGTAAAAAATCAGTGTAACTGTTCTAAAGCTAAAACATTTATTGACAGATGGGGTTAAAAGGTGTCTTACATATTTCGCACAATTTAAAAACAGATGACACCAGAAAACATCTCAATTGAAGAAAAGTTCGAATGACCATCTACTATGTCCCCTGCATCGATCCCTATGTTCTAACCTACAACCATCACTTTGAAATTGAGTCACATCCCTAAAAGATCTCATCAATACTTCACCTGCTTCTGCCAAAGGGATTTCCAGTGCCATATACCAAATGTTGATGTTAAGATCATCTGTATCATCTATGAAAACACAAGTTACCAATTTAGAAAATACTATTTGTAACTGCTTGTACGTATGTAAATTAATCATGTTTTTCTATGAATCAATATATAATTTATTATTTCGTCAAATACATATTACATGTAATACATGCTTGTCCCCTGTCACGTGAGGACGTTCTGTACAAAACATAGTCCTGCACCATGACTGTAGAATATATTTATTTTATTAAAAGAAACTATCAAGCCATATATATACAAAAGCAAGTCTAGCCAGCTCGAGCTAGCTCTGTTCAACAGCAATCAGCATCAGGAAAATTATTTGTTTTAATTTCAGAAAGAGTGTTTTATGTATTATAAGATTTCATAGACAATATGTTCATAGACAAAACACTTCTTCGCGAGGTTTTTGATAAAATACTATTTCATCGTTGGTCATAGTTCCGCGTAGGGTGAAACGGTGATTCAACTCAAGGTTTAGTATTTTACAAGTACGTACTAATAGTCTTCCACTAATCCCGTATATCAGTTGGACAGAGCCTCAAGTGAAGTTGTTGTGAGAAGGACGACATACCCCATGTGGGAAGCCAATAAAACGAGGCAACTGATTTGAGATATGGGTTTAAATATAAGCAGGTTGCTAATCAAGTGTCAAAAGCAACGAAAACAAATGCTTAGCTAGCATTTTAATTACCCCAACTTAGAGAAGTATGCCAATAATTAGTAAGTAGTATTCGGCGTTGGATCATCGCAGCGTGAGAAGCTACCGTTCCCATAATTCATAGCGCTGCCTCGTTCTGGGGTGACACGGGTCTGGCGTGTCAGAGTTCACCTTTGAGGTCAGTCGTAAGGACAGTCTGGATCTTCAGGCTTAGGATGACCCAGGCAACAACTAAACGCAAACATTTTGACAGGGTAATATCTGACTTAAAGTTTACGAGAGCGGGTTGTGACAACAAAAATGCCAACCTTTCACCGGGGTGTCAGGCAAATGGTTTGCAGAGGTTTCACCCCCCAACACATGGGCTTATATGCTTTAAACGCGAGAAAAGAATACTTTTAAAAGTTGTTATGTTGTCTGGACATGTATGTCTCGGAGACAAAGACAAAGCGTTATTGGCAATACTACATCTGGTTTTTAACATATTTTTATTTCACTAGTTATCTAATTAGTAATATATTTAGCATAGGATGTTCATAAATACACATGTCACTTTCCTGTTTCCGATACCAGCTGTTACGTCTTAAGATGGAGATGGCGTTAATAAAAATTCACAAGAAACGAAAGAACTATAATGAAAAGATGACGTATCGAATAATGATGATCATCAAGGCTCCATCTTCATTAATAGGAGACAGAGGAGAGAGCAAAGTAGCAGTGTGTTTTAAAAGAATATTCCTATAAATTTTGTCCATGTTGAAGATCTAAACTGCTAGGCAAAAGGAAGTATACACTTGAAAATTGGATTAGACCAAAATGTACCGTTATCAGAACATTACTAGGCTGAAAACAGTCGCCGAAACACTGCATACTTAAGGTCCAACACAACTATGATACCCGTTTCAAATACACCACCCTCGATTAACTAGTCTTGTGTGTTTCAGTTTAGCCACTATCAAACATGGGAGTATCTTGCGAAATGTGCTTGAGAATTTTCTTTACATGTTCCAACCAAAACAAGTAAGAAATAATTTCAATATCCACTGGAATGTTGTTTTAGAATAGATCAAGATCGTTGTTTTACTCAATTTTATTGAATGATCACGTTGAGTACGTGATTTACCATGTCTCCCTGATCCACAGACCCTACAATAGTATTACATCGAAGCTCTGATATTTTTGTATGTACAAAATAGGATCAGAAGCTATGCACACCGACATTAGTTTATTTCAAATAGAATTTACATCACTGGTGGCATTCCATACATTCTCTCTTATGGTATTAAGAAGCATGTAGAGCACAACATTACCAAAAAATATAGTTACGATTGGAAAACCGTAAATGAGGAAAAAACTTTATATTTGAATTATAATATATTTTTACTTTTCGCTTTATTTTTTTGGAAGAATGGAATACAAGCGTTTCATGAAATTGAATTCAGTTTATAAGCACTACAAAACATCTGTTTGTCATTCATTAATCATAATATAACTCCCACCCGTTCATATCATATTCAAAGAATGCGCGCCCGAGAGACACTTTCTAATTCAAATCTGACATAATCTTAACACAAAGGTTTTTTATCATTTATAATTCCAACGTTTTATTTATGTCTCTACATTTCTAAGAACGATATCATCTCACCACAATATCTTTTTTATAATTGATATTTCACACTTGTAATTTATGTACACACATTCATGAACAAAATGGGTAAGAAGACACAAAAAGATTTTCTTATTCAATTATGATAATATCTCAACATTGCTTAGAGAAAAAAAGGCAAATGACATTTCTGAAATTTGGTAGGCCGTAAAGCTTTTAAATTCGCCTTCACGCGATATACCATTTGAAGCACGGCCCATAAACAGTCAAATAGAAAATGAAAAATACTTCACTCCCAGAATGCCGGTTACAGGAAACTATTGGCATAAAACTGTCGTGATAGTATCTTCATTAGTCGCGGAAAACGAGAAAAACGAAAATGTTTGAAAAATAGTTGTTAATAATGCCCGACTACAGGATGGAGAGCTGCATTAACGTACGATAAAAGGGAAGATGCAGATAAAAGCTAAAGACATAACAAATCGCTGTGTGATAAAGACATTCTAGGGACAATATTATCCCACACGAAGTCGGAATAAAGATGTTCTTTCATTTTAACCACAGATTTACCCAATCTTTCATAAGTATGACGACACGGACCACAAAATCCAATAATTAATTTTGTTTGAAGTCCAACAGAAGTCCCATCGGGCGGTTAAGTCCTCACGAATGGGCAGACATACGGCTGTCCATGCCACAAACGCAAGGCCGCGATTGGCGTTTTAGTTTTAGACTGCCTTAAAGTGGCGTGTAAAAGTCGCCAAGCGATGGTAAACATTTGGCCTATTTTCTGTTCATTCGGCTGTGAAAATGGCTCGTCAAATTCCCCGTGTCCTGAGTCCTCCTGGCAGTTATCTCCCTTTGTCGTGGACCTATTTATTTGAATTTTCCACGGTTGCCGTTTGAAGAGAGTCAAGCAGTACCCCTGCTGTGGTTCCTGCGGAGTTAAATTTTCAAACAAGGCGTCAACATCCTTTCTTTGATTCACAGCCGGAAGTGACAATGTGATATGGGTAATATTATCCAGTTTTATTTGGGGTCAGTGAATATGTCATGGTTCCTTCTCTGAACAAGATGTCCTCACTCTTGAAGAAGGTGGCAACATTTTGACTGTGGGTATCAGACATGCACTAGGTGTAGGACACGAGGCATTGAATTCAAGACGTCAACCCAGAGAATAATAAGTCTCGATTATCTACAGAAGTATATGGGCGTAAAAGCAAGACAGTGTAGAAAATTACATGAATTGATCACTGCTATGGTAGTATTGGGCATCATCGCGCATCATGTCGACAAGCAACGTGTCATATTTAGTAATTTCCTCTGAATGTCTGCCATAAACTTTCTGGATCGACTGAACCTGGCCTTTGATGGTGAAACCTTGATTAAAAAACTTAGCTGTAAATAAAATATGTTTTAATGAATAGCAGACGGTTGAACATATGGCATCAGGCATTGAGTATAAGATAGGGCACCGCGTTACCACGCATCCAAGATGGTGGCTCCATCAGCCACAGCACATCAGGCATCAGGCACAGGACATCAGGCATCAGGCACAGGATATCAGACACAGGACATCGGGCATCAGGAACAGGACATCAGGCACAGGGCATCAGGCATCGGGCACAGGACATCGGACATCAGGCACAGGACATCAGGCATCAGGCACAGGACATCAGGTATCAGGCACAGGGCATCAGGCATCGGGCACAGGACATCGGACAAAAGGCACAGGACATCAGGCATCAGGCACAGGACATCGGGCATCAGGAACAGGACATCAGGCATAGGACATCGGGCATCATGCATCAGGCACAGGATATCAGACACAGGACATCGGGCATCAGGCACAGGACATCAGGCTCAGGACATCGGGCATCAGGCACAGGACGTCGGGCATCAAACACAGAACATCAGCCACAGGTCATCAGACATCAGGTACAAGGCATTGCTCATCAGGCACAGGACGTCGGGCATCAAACACAGAACATCAGCCACAGGTCATCAGACATCAGGTACAAGGCATTGCTCATCAGGCACATGACATCGGGTGGGGGCACAGGGAACAATGAATTAAACGAGATGCCGTAATTCTCTGTACAGAGTTGCGCCCCTTATATGTGTCAGGATTTTGGTAGTAGATTCAAATCACCAAAACTCAATACTCGTGGTAACCTGCGTCACCAACGGCTTTCCTGTCACGTTAAACTGACACCGTCAACACCAGCTCACTCACTCACGAAAACGGACAGATGGATTACTCTGTTCCTGTAAGGAAGGATGTAAGGATGAAAGGATAAGCTCCTTATGCCTTATACGACCGCCACTGTCACCGTCTTCTTAGAGTGTCATTTGTACGCAGTTGTCATTGAAACAATCCTCCAGACACTATTAATTATATTCATAAGACTATTGGGATTAGTGTCAGTGTCGTGGATTCTTTACTTTGGGTGATGCTAGCGCTTATGACATTACCTTTCACAAATATACACGTATTCACGAACATGTGATCATGATAATAATGAGGACTTAATTTATCCGAAGTTTTGTAGACAGCCAGTAAGCGAGTTTAGTACCAACCAATTGTTCAAGGTGGGCGTTTTCGGACTTCGCATTCACGACTATTACATACCTGAGTTTTACGGTTTAACAAGGTTTTAATGTACAGTTACGGTGCATTTTCCGAACGGTACCTCTCCCATTGAAAGTGTGGCGTAATGTCATATGCCCATTTTAATGAATCGGGATAACAGATCAATGTTCCTGTGTATATACGCGAGACATGACGTGAGACATGACCCGAGACATGACAACGGTGAAATGTTTTAGAATTGTTATCTGCTCAAAAACGGGATCGGGTGGTCATACTTGGTGACTTGGATGATGTATGTCATCGTATCCCATTTGCGTAGATGGATGCTCATGATTTCAGTCACATGGTTGTCTGGTCCAGACACAATTATTTACAGACCGACATCATAATAGCTGGAATAGTGCGGCGTTAAACAACAAACAAACAAATTACGTTAACGACAATCAAAGATCGTTACAAATATTACACCTTCCTGCAACAAATGTTCCAAATTCACATCTTGCTTTTACGCTTGAAGGTGTTGATATCAAGTTGACATTTGGCAGTCCAGAATTAAATGTCAATGACAAATTTCAGCAGATATACAGTTACTTGTTGGTGGTAGGTATTAACAAAGACCTGAGATTTATTTACAATTGATGAGATTGTTCTCGCTGATATAGACATCCTACTTGACACATGCCAGTGAAATCTACATATGTACATTGCAATGTCGCTGGTTTCATTACTCGGAATGTTTTTCTTAATAGGTCAAAAAAGAAAATTGGATAAATAACACAGAACAGTGTTATTTGTAGACGCTCGCGCCACCAAGGGGTTAGGTAATTGCCTGCCACGAATGCAGCTGTTGTTCTTGAAAAAGTGATGTTTATTTCATGCATGCTATATATCACAGTGTAGGTGACATGTTATCAACGTAACACTAGCATAGTGTGATCCATATCACTCAATCATTGCCAAATAAACAGTGCATCTCACGTGCCGGATTGTATGATGTCTATTTCAAACTAGACTACTGTCTCACGAGCGTGAAGCGCAACGGACGATAGCCATAAAACCAGTGTTTACTGTTTTCTGACTCTTGCATTCTTTTTTCTTGAATGCCACGGAATAATTTACGAAGAAATTCCAGAAACATGCAGAAGTTGAAAATGAATCTTTTCGTGTTTTTTTTTAATATTGCCCTCCAAAAGCTACGCTTTATGGGAATTTCAACATAGTTGTTCTGTTAACATCTAGATTATAACTTTCAAAAATGTAATTTGATTTTATTCAGTGTCTGGTTATATATTCACAACAACTACTTGTAGCAACTAAATCTCCCGGCAACAGAAAGTATTCACCCATGTTTGCTTGTGGCTAAAAAACAAACAGACCCGTGAAGATCCGGGATAGAATAGGTCTTCAGAAATCCATGCTTGCCGTAAAAGGCGACTATGCTTGTCGTAAGATATTCCAGCTATATGACGGCGGTCTGTACATAATCGAGTCTGGACCAGACAATCCAGTGATTGACATCATGAACATCGATCCACACAATTTGGATACGGTGACATGCATCAACCAAGTCAGCGAGCCTGACCACCCGATCCGGTTAGTCGCCTTTTATGACAAGCATAGTCGCCTTTACGGCAAGCATGGGTTTCTGAAGACCTGTTCTTAACCGGATCTTCACGGGTGGTCAACTAATATCACTACACGTACGTCCAGTCCGATCATTATTTCTGAATAATGAGATTGTCCACCACGAAACATCATTCACTCACGCAATACTATATTTTAGAAGATCAACATCCATATGGACGTGACATCAGCTCTGCAAATAAAGCGACACAAGCCTTTCTGTAATCATAAAATATATAGATATAATTGAAGCGACAAAGCTATTACCATAATTAGAAGAAATCTCGACTAAAATCATATTCCGACTATATCATGAGCATGTGTTGACGAATTACTACCAAACAGTGTTGCGTCCAGGTATTGGCGAAAAAGTGAACGTTTCCTGTCCCACCAGTGGAACCTGTCACAAACACATGCAAAGGCAAGGCAATTTCTCATCTGAAAAAAACCCAGACGGGAACATATGGTACAAGTCAAAACAGGGAATTGCATCTGACATCATTTGTGTCACTGATGCGTCAAAAATGGAAATGTCGTCCACATGGCTACCCTAAAACTTTTTCAAAGCTTTACTGAGGTTTTCAATGTTGTAACCCAGATGAAACACTTTTTGAGCATGATAGGAAAATGTACAAGGTTATGGATAACAACTTCTGGTTTATTAGATATAGCGACATTCCGATGTAGATTCTTACACCATTATCAAGCTTGATACTACTGCTACTGCTACGGGTGTTATCAAGATATGCTATATGCAATACAACAGAGGTTGTTATCCATAATCTTATACAGTTTTGAGCAAGAGTCGTATGACTCTTTTTAAAATCTTCGTGGAAAGAGCACGTTTGATTGTACTTTAAAAGTGGTGAAAGGTCAGAGCTGCTGGAATATTGCTCGATATAAAGAGAAAGTTAACTCTAAGAACGCTGAAGTCGAAGACCAGAAACTTTAGAAAACTTTGTTTTTCAACATAGCGGAGCCGATCGACCTGAAGCTTTACCATGTTACCACCGGCAGAAAAGAACCCCATCTCTTTAAAGAGATATAAAAGAAATGTATCTATTATTTTGCCGGATATGTTTTTGGCGACAAACAACAATAAAGCTAACAGAATCCATACGTGAAACGTATTCAGTAGCCCTGACAAGGACCTTGAGAACCACGTGGACATATGTCATATGATCACTGTATAGAAATCGACAAGCATGAGTGTGTCAAAACGTCAATCATCTTGTCGCGTAGGCATCGGCTCATGTTTCTCACCTATCAATACCATGTATTGTGGATTTCCTGATTTGTCACTCCTTGTCCATTTCACAACACTGAAATTGACAAGTGAAAGACTACATCTGTTCCGGGAATAAAAGACGTGTTAGTGGACGTCGGAGCTTGAATGACCACTTGTAGAAATACCTGCAAAACGGCGTTCTAATCTGTTGACTTGGGTCCCCTTTGTAGCTCACCTGAACGGGATAAGATGGGACCTGTCACCTGGCTTTTTACCTGTGATTTGGGGCGTTCAGAAAGTCATTAATCACTGGAGAGACACTGTTAGTAATTACCTAGCCTGCCCTGTCATCTTGAGAAACACTGAGTTAATGTTTGGGAATTATACTCATTCCGGGCCTTTTTGTATTGCCAACAAGCCCCAATCAGGTTATAACGCATTGTTTAAGTGATGGTTGTTTCGTTCTCATGGTATCGATTAGAGCGCTGTTAAATGCCACTTCTTGTTCCACCATTAGGGAAGTGCCATGTATTTCAATGCTATTGAAATGGACTGATTGAATTATCGTTAAGGTGTTTTGTAATTTTAAGGAGATGTTTTAAACACAAGTGAATGCATGATTGAACTCTAAGGATAGATGTAAAGAAAGGTCCTTGAGCTGACTCGCATCACGCGAAGCATTTTTATTTAATTGAATGGTGGTTAATTATGATGGAATACTTGTCGGGGTGTGAGTGCAGTTGTGTGGGTGTATGTGCTGGTGTACGCGGGGGTGTACGCGTAGTGTATTTGTATGTGCGGGTTTACGCGTAGTGTATTTGTATGTGCTGGTGTACGCGGGGTGTATATTATGCGCTGGTGTACCCAGGGTGTATTGGTATGTGTAGGTGTACGCGGGGTGTATATTATGCGCTGGTGTACCCAGGGTGTATTTGTATGTGCAGGTGTACGCGGGGTGTATATTATGCGCTGGTGTACCCAGGGTGTATTGGTATGTGCAGGTGTACCCAGGGTGTATTTGTATGTGCTGGTGTACGCGGGGAGTATATTATGCGCTGGTGTACCTAGGGTGCATTTGTATGTTCTGGTGTACGCGGGGTGTATATTATGCGCTGGTGTACGCGGGGTGTATTTGTATGGACGGATGCACCGGGGTGTATTTGTATGCGCTGGTGTACCCAGGTTGTATTGGTATGTGCTGATGTACGCTGGATGTATATTATGCGCTGGTGTACGCGGTGTGTATTTGTATGTGCGGATGTACCGGGGTGTATTTGTATCCGCTGGTGTACCCAGGTTGTATTGGTATGTGCTGGTGTACGCGGGGTGTATATTATGCGCAGGTGTTCGCGGGCTGTATATTATGCGCTGGTGTACGCGGGGTGTATTTGTATGTGCTGGTGTACGCGGGGTGTATATTAAGCGCAGGTGTTCGCGGGGTGTATATTATGCGCTGGTGTACGCGGGGTGTATTTGTATGTGCTGGTGTACGCGGGGTGTATTTGTATGTGCTGGTGTACGCGGGGTGTATTTGTATGTGCTGGTGTACGCGGGGTGTATTTGTATGTGCT